AGCAGGATGATTGAGATAGCGTCTGGTATGAAATACTTAAGGGTAATTTAGTAAAGTAAATGTTTATTAGTCACATTCTCGAAACTAAAAATAAAGGTCCCTTTTATGTCCATTACCCATTTTTTTTAGTAATATTCATGTCAAAACCCCTAGTAATTGATTCTATACTATCTTGTCAAAGATGCCATTGGGCTTGGAAAGTACATGAATCCTTGGCATTGTTATTAGATCCAAAAACATGGATCCATGAAAGAAGCAGTCAAAAGGCCTTTTCTGTATGTAGTGGTTCAGGATCGTTTTTGTGATTCTTCATACTACGAAGAATTCGGATATCTGCATGCATTCCTGGTTTTACTGGAAGGAGCTAAGCTTAGTTCGATCATGCATCCAAACGACACAATTAGTTACAAATTAATATGGGGGACGTTTTTTTTTATAGCAAATTAAATATAGTATGGCTTTGATTTGTGTATCCAAGCAAAATGATCGAGATGCATTCATTGTTCTCGATAGCAATAATAAGTTAGAAATCAAATAATTAAGGATGTCTTTTGTCCAGTTTAAGATTAATCAGACATGGTTCCTGGGAATTCTGACTGTTGGCTTGATAGGCGGCGCATGTTTCATCAGAACGGCTTTTCTCCAAACGGCAAACACTCCGGCGGCCATTTGCGAGACGGCAGACCTGGTGGCAGCTCCTGGCGGCACCGCCGACACCGGGCAACTCTTGGAAGCCATCCTCCACTACGCCACCACGCGCCTGACGACGCAACAAAGCATCCACGAGATCAGAGCGTGCAAGGACGTGCTCCAGAAACTCGGGCCCACCAACTTCCTAGTTTTCGGGCTGGGCTACGACTCGCTCATGTGGGCCTCCTTCAATCTGCACGGCACCACGGTGTTCCTGGAGGAGGACCCGAAGGTCTACGACGCAATACTCGGCGGGCCCAACCACCCGAATTTAACGGCGCACGTGGTCAAGTACTCGACCAAGCTGTCGGAAGCGGCGGAGCTGGTCCAGCATTTCAGGGAGGAGCCGGATTGCTCGGCGAGGAAGTCGTTCCTGCGCGGCAACCTCCGGTGCAGGCTGGCTCTGCACGCGCTCCCCAGCCACGTTTACGACAAGGAGTGGGACCTGATCATGATCGACGGGCCCAGGGGGTACTACGCGGAGGCGCCGGGGAGGATGGGGTCCATCTACTCGGCGGCGGTGATGGCGCGCAACAGGAAGCGATCTGGTGTGACGCACGTGTTCCTGCACGACGTGAACCGCAAAGTGGAGAAGGTGTATGCGGAGCTGTTCTTGTGTAGGAAGCATTTAGTGGATGCAGTGGGAAACCTTTGGCATTTCGAAATCCCTCCTGCTGCTGCTTCCTCCCAACTTCATACCCATTTTTGCTAACCCGCAATTTGTAAGCCTAAAATAGCTGAATTATGTGGTCAGATTGGTTTATCTACTGAATTTCCAAGCTTATATATATCCAAATGAACTAGTCATTTTCAATAATTTCATCCCAAGGGGGCTAAAAAGGAAACTTTGCACTACTTTTTTCCCAATAATAACTGATTTAGCCAAAATGATAGTAAATGAATTAGTATTGCTGAAAGCAAAGTGTTGGGTGTGTATTTCAACTCAAGTCTCCAACCAGAACAACTCACACACACCACTCCAGGATGTTTAGCCACTCCACCACTCACCAAGTTTAGCCCACTCTATTCTCACCTCTCTAGCTCTCATTCACAAAGAGGAAACTATCACGAAGAAGACACTCACTAAACTGCCTCACACTCACTCACACTTCACACACAAGGAAGAAGAGGAGTTTGTACGCCACACACATTACAAAGGATAAGAGTCAACTCTTATAGCAAAGGAAAAGATGCTTTACTAATCAACTATAAGAGTAAGACAAACCAAGGGGAGCCCAACAAAGGCAGTGGATAGAATAGCAACGGGCAGAACAATAACAAGGCCATGTGATTAGGTAGTGAACAAACTCAAGAGGAATTAATAGGAGTACGGCTAAACTTAGAGTGCAGACCTTAACACAAATAAGTGGAAGGAAAGTCTTGGTAGGACCAATACCTCCAACACAAAGCCTTACCGATCAGACACTTAATTGATCGGGAGGCCCAACTGCCACACAAACATTTAAATTAGATCACTACTGAATGAATGAACACGATAAAAACGACAACTCAAACATCAACACACCACTGAAATGTCAATTGCATTAAGATGATATGCCTGGCCTGTTTGTAATACCAGCAAGTCAACAAGACAACAACAACAGATTTTTTTGGGATGGGAGGTTGGGAGGTACTGTAGGACTAAATTGGTTGTGTGCTTTCTCGGATGGAAATTGATTACCCTCTCGTTTTGAATTATTACTGTACCCAATTAAAGCGGGAATGCCTCTAAGTTCAAGCGCCGCATTTGGGATAGGAATATGGTACTTGATGCCAAAGTCCTCCTTGCAAGAGCTTTTATTTCTTCACAGGTACTGTCATGAGATATGCAATACAGCTCCCAAAAGGCTCTGCTATTGATAATGTCTTTTGCATTTTCTTCGGAATAGAGAGAAATGACTTTAAAAAATGAATGTCCCTGCACATGTCAAGGAGAGAAGGAAAACTAGCCACATTCTAAGGTTCCTCGTGTGATGTCGTTACTGTGTTGTGCTAAGTGGCAGAGTGCAAGCTCAAAATGGCGCCTAATAGCTGACACATTACTGTTGGCATTTTGTATGATCCAAGGCAGTGCCCCGTCTTCTATCAGAACAGATCTTCCGCTTTTTGTGCCTGGAATGGGTATTGGTATGATATAAATGAGCTGATAACATCATTGTGAGTCGTATAATGCACTAAAATGACATCAAGAGCTTCAAATATTTCAGTTCTATTGCTTTTCTTATTGCAATTTCATCATGTAGCATGCAACCTCTTCACCTCAGCCACTTCCTCTGAACAAAATCCCTTATGGCCCTGCAGGAAAGAAAATTAGGGTATCTCAAACTAAGTACAAAAGAACAACAGATAAAATTGTTTCTGATCAGAAAAGTGAAACTGATATAGGGGAGGAAAAGGACACCTAGAGCTCATAGTCCTCTTATCATGAAGCGCACATAACATTCTGTGAAGGAAATATGACTGGACTCAGGAAAAAAAGAATATAAATGAACATTGGTTTCAAAAGGGTATCTTAACAAGCATGACACAAGTTTTTAGGCTAAAGGCAACAGAATAAAATGTTACCAATAGCAATGTCATAGATAAATGGACAATAACCCTTCATGTGTTCGTTTATGAATGACACTAATATAATTGATGCTAACAGTCTCTCAAAAAATTCATTTTGCTCCCTCAGTGATTTGTCCTGAAAAACATCAAGTAACCTGCATTATGGACCTTATGACAAATAGGAAAAAGGCATCTGACATGCTCAAGTATTACGTCTTATCTCTTTCACTCCATTTTGTACCATTTTATTTTCTTCTGTAAGAAAAAGAGGAAAATAAGAATGGAAAGCACACAATTATAGTGACTTAAATACAAGCAACCTCTCCAATACATTTTCCGTTGGCGACTCCATTACTTTGGTGATGTTGTTTACTAATCTTTTCTTTCAGCTTGTTAATTGATTCCATATATTCCACCTGACATTTCAGTTTCTCCTCCTTCAAGTTCAAATTTGAAATGTCAAATTAACCAAAAAATAGGAGAGTTAGATAAAGTCAAGACACCACAACCTAAATAAATAAATAAATAATCAATATTGGAGTTGATATATGATAAGCACTATAGGTAGTTATCTGTACAAAAATAAAAATAGAAATAAGTAAAAATCCCAAATTGAGCAAAAACATGTATAGGCGGTTAGGAATGAAGAAACGGGAGGGAACAAGTCAAGAGGACCAAGAACCAGCACTTCGGGGGCAACTAAGGGCGTCAAAACAGAGCAAACAGTCAAAAACTATTGCTTTTATGCCTGATTGTTGGGTTCGAATAGTTGGACCGGTTGCACATACACCCAGATGTATGATATAGGGACTGAGCTTCTCCTAGAAAAGTTCAAGTAGTTAAGGAATAATTGACAAGAATAATCTCACCTTTCACCGATCTTCTCATAATAATTCCACCTTTACATAATCTCATAATAATCTCACATTTTCACTCCATCTTCTTTCATTGTATCCTGACCTGTTGATGACCTACTATACAAGGTTTTTTACCCTTTCTTTGAAAATCTTATATAAATAGTCTCATCTTTATAAAGATATAATAAAAAAGTGAGATGTGAGATTATTTATATGCATAAAAAACATGGTATAGTAGGTCATCAACATGTCAGGTCCAATGAAAGAAGATGAGGTGTAAAGATGAGATTATTATAGGATTACGTAAAGGTGGATTATTATGAGAAGATATACTAAAAGATGAGATTATTCTTGTCAATTTTTCCAATAATTAAAAGTTCAAATATCTACATGTTTGATTCATAGTTTTATGAGGTTTTTCTTACTAATAAAAAAATCATAAATAAAAATATGACTTGATAACTATTACTGACTATAATTGTATATAAAATTTACATCATAATAACTTGTCCAGGTCTAATATTAATGAAATTCTTTTATTTAATACTCCTTTCGTCCCAAAATTAACTTCTCACTTTCCTTTTCGACTAGTCCCGAAATTAACTTCACACTTCAAAACTTTTCTTATTTGGCAAATAATCTACATAAAAAAAGTGTCAAACAGTGTCCAAACAGTGTTTAAACAGTGCAAAACAGTGCACTTCACAGTAAAGTCAAATTTATTTTCTTAATCTGTGTGAAGTCAAACTGTGAACTTAATTATGGGACGAAGAGAGTAATACTTTTGTAAACATTTTGTATTTTTACTTTTTAAAAAAATAATGACCGGTTTTCCGGGCGTTGATCGGACTCGCCCTTACCCGGTCACTTTTCCCGGTCGCCGTCCTGATTTTGAGAACGCAGGTGGAAACAAGAAATTTTTTGCGAGGCAAGGAAATTTTGGAAGGACGCCATGGCAAGGAAAGACAACAATGTGACCGCCACCAGCCTCCTCAACAGTACTGCCACAAGACTTTCTCCAGATTTATCTTCGGATTCCATCCGTCTGCTCGATGACTTCATGAGATCCATCGGAGTTTACAGGACTACCTTTCCGCCTGAATACCAGGCCATGGACGCTTTCTCTCGCCTTACTCGCGGTGTCCTCAATGTCCAGCACATCCACCCTGGGAAACTCACATGCCTGCTCGTCGTCAAACCTGCTATCGTGGTAATTAAATTGGATTGAAATGGGCCGGCTTGCTTTTCTTCTGATTTTTGTTCCCGATTGATGGCTTCTTTTCGTTTTTGAAAGTATTCTTATCTGTCTCTCAGATTTGGTTTTGGTGGAGATTGCCAAAGTAGTCCATCGACGATATTGTTCTTCACTCTTAGCTGTTATGTGACATACGTTCATGGGAAACTCCCAATTTTGGAAATTTATAGAAACATTTGCACAAGCTGTTAACCCCCGCCCCCAAGCTTTAGTGATAATACTGACAAGTGGCTAGATGATGATCTGATCAGTCACTATGTATGCTGAAAAGTTCATGTGGACTCCCAGGATACATTCAACTGCATAGAAATTTGAGACATAGAAGCATTAGTCAAAATTTGCGTTGGAAGCCAAAAGGGACTTGTTCATCTTACCAGCAGAATAATCCATCCGAATAAGTAGAAGTAGCTTTTCACTAACTTAATTGGTTGAAATAGATTTTACCTAACACTTTTTACTTTAAGAAAATTTTCTCGATTAAGTCATACCAGCAGAATAACTCCTTAGTCTTATGTACGCATCAAGTTGACAGATTCTGCCCAATTTCATTGGGATGTAGACTTCATATAGTTCGGAACAGCGCATCACATGTTTTTCTCTAACCACTACATATCTTGATTTAATGCATTTTCAGAATGGTTTTGGTGGGATGCACGGGGGTGCGGTTGGTGCAATAGCTGAGAGAGTGGCGATTGCTTGTGCTAGAACAGTTGTGGGGAAGGACAGAGAGCTATTTCTTGGAGACTTAAGCATGTCTTACCTCTCATCTGCTCCTCTTAATGTTAGTCTTTTTTTCTTTGATTCAGATACACTAATTTTGTCTTCAACTAGAGTTGTACAAACACAAACCATATTATGATGTGTTTCATATTTACACATTGGATGTTCTCACTGTGTTTGCAGGCAGAAGTGATGGTTCATGGATCTGTAGTTAGGAGTGGAAGAAGTATAACTGTAGTAGCTACGGAATTTAAACTGAAGGACTCCGATAAATTGGTTTACATTTCTCGTGCAACTTTGTATCATACACCAGCTGCAAGTTTGTGAGCGGGCAACTCTTTGCTCAAACAGGTTAACCTTGCTACAACACACTGGTGTTGCATCCAGTTTCGAGGGCATGCCTTCCTGTTTTATTGATATTCAATTTTACCATTTTGGTTACTTTTTGGTACATATGACTCTTTCCATCCCATAACTTCATGGCTTCATGCTTCATTTTCGAGATACCCAAAATAAAGAGTTGTGCGGTTAATATTACAAAGTATTTATTTTCTTTCTAAATAAACCTCAACATCACAATTTTATTTTATTCTTAATAGTTGTGCCAAAAGTAAATGGGGAGACAATAACTGGATGGGTAATGCAAAAGGCACCAGCGTACACATCTATTTATTACTTTATTACTTTGCATAGTTTGCATAGAGCTTTAAAAATGTTGTATGAGATGAGAAAGTTTCAGTGGTAAGCGCCTATGTATTACAAGTGAGGTTAGAATCATACTCAAGTGATGGGTTATGGAACCCGGGTCTAGAATGAAGCTAGAAGACCTCACCTTGTGAACTATAAATGTGGATTCAATAGTATCCAAGTTGGCTATTTTTTTATTTTTGCGGAAAAAAATGGTAAGGTTATCCGTGGTAAGAGTGTACTCAACAAAGGTTTAAAAACAAGACTAAATTGTGATTCAGGTGTATACATTTTAGATAAAGGTTAAGGTTTGATCACATAATAAGCATATAATTGAGCAACTGCTTCAACATTATAAAGTACAATGATTTTGAGAACAAGATTAACCTCACAATGTGTACGAGCAAGCGAACAACCCCTTGCCTATGCCAATGTGTGTGGAAAATTGTTCAAGAACAATTTAAACCTCTACTGAATTATTCTTCATATCAATATAAATCAAGTGACATTTTCAGGTTAGAAAAGATAACTAGTTAATTTACAACACAAATTATATAAATATCATACTTTCAATTTTCAAACTTTTAAAATCAAAACGCTAGATAATAGGAACTCTTATTCACCGATCTCAAGTCACTAAAGAAAATTAGTCATAACTCATAATTAGAACACTACAATCGAAAGAGTAAGATTTACTTGTCATTAATTGAAAGAATGAAATCATTGATGATTCTCCAAAACATCTTGTTCCCAAGCTAATTCTTACGAAACCACAACTGAAAATCTTGATTATGCAATTGAGGGTCATCATTCACTTTAAACGAAGAGCTAAGTTGGGTTTTAAGTAAAAATTACATGGGTGTGCCGCACGCACCATACACATGTCCGTGTTTGAGAAGTTGTTGACAGTCACACACAAATTACACGATTGTGCGTGTGGCAGAATGTTTGAAAATTATAATTTTGCATTTGCACCAGGTCTTGTCCTGACATTTTATGAACCTGTGACAATAAATGTAGAGTAAGCATTGCTAATAATGTGTAAATGTTTATGATAATTTTTGTTGTAAAAAATCTGAAAGTAAAATAAAATAATTTTGTCATCCAAATAGGAGTAACACATCAAAGAAACTAATAAAATAAACGGTTAGAAAAATACATTTAAGTACTATTTGATAAGTGACATCGGGTTGAGGCTACTATGTACTTCAACCGGCTGAATGAAACAAATAGTACAACTATTATTTACAATAAAGAATTTCACATTAGGAAAAGACGTGAAAGATATATCGTATAAGTAGTAATTTTTTCATATCACAATTTCAGTAGACTAAAACAAACTACAAGTTTCTAAATTCTGGATACTATAGTTCAAATGTCCAATACCCCAATCTTTCTCATACACGAGAGAACCAAAGAAAATTAGCAAAATACTATCAATTAATCATGAGTATGCATAAAAAAAGCTTATCATAATATGAACATTAATGCACTAACCATTAATGAACCAAAAGAAATGCTGAAATATATTCTCAGAAAATTATGATGTGAATGCTTCAACATTTTAGACTTGTAGCGTGTATATGTTGTTGAATAATGAATTGGAATAATGAATTGAAAGTGTCAAATCGACTGATTGTCGTTTGTGCTTGGCGTTGTGATACATGAGTCAATTGTCGTTTGCAAGACAAGAATAGAGGTTTAGGACGTTAGGAGAGCGAAAAATGTAAAGTTTCAAAAACATTATGAGTCTGTTTCAAAACGTCACTTCCATCTTATCAACTTTTACTCTTTTACATACACCTAGTTTTTATGTTTTTTTTTACTTCACGCGCTGAATTGTGTAATAACAAAAATAACTAAGGTTGGAGACTTAGAGTTACTGTTCTGGCTGAATTGACTAAAATGACTGTAGATGATAATTTAAACTATTTTTGTATACTGTTTCCTTTTTATTATTAATGAAATATATTTAATACTCTCTCGTCCCTCCATTCCATAAACAAGTTCTCGTTGCTGTTTACAAGGTTTGAATGACGAAAAAGCAATTCGATCCCTGTTCACGCCCAGATTATTTTTAGTAAATAAAATTTACATATTCAGAAACTTCATTAAAACCGCTACAAAGTCTGATAAAAAAAAAATTAAGTTTGATAAAAATTTGATATATAAAGTAAAAGATTAAGAGTATTTAATTTTTCCAGGAACTTGATTCCGGGACGGAAGTAGTATAATTTTTCCATAATTCAACAAACTACTTCAACCTATGTCTTTCAGGTTTGCCAAATCCAACATTGTCCGTTTTCAAGAACACTTTTGCTTAATAGATACTTAAACTTCACACCTCATTTAATCCTGCTCAAGAATAGAGCAAGAAAAAGACGATGAACACCAGGGATCGAGGGAAGAGATCAAGAAAAAGAATGGGGAAGCAGAGAGGGTGGATGTTAAATTGATTTTTGTAGTAGTATTTCACTATTTCCACTCACCAAACTTACGTAAGTTATCATTTCTTAAACTCCTTCGATAACATATCTCATCTAGTCTAGCTTATAATTACTCCAACTAACCCATTCAACCTTTTGTTTGGTGTGCGTGAATGCAGCATGATATTAAAACTGCTTCTGCATCACATAATCTACTTTTTTTTTAATCACAAAATCTACTATATCACACATGGATTAGATAATTATTTAACTCCCCCCCCCCCCCCCCCCACATTACTAACATTTCTTAAGTCCAGTAGCTTATGAAATCTAATACGAAGTACTACTTTTACCCACCTAACCTACCTAGCTTATTAGCCGGATCAGCTTTCCTAGAGGCCGTTTGGCAACACAGTTATCAGGCTTATCAGCCAACTTTTTCACCAAACATGTAACTTTTACTTTTGCATGTTGAATTGTGTAATAAGCAGAAAAAGTAAGATTAAAGTTACTTTTCAGACTGTATTGGCTGAAATTACTGTAGACGACAATTTTAACTATTTTTAGTTATAATTTTTTCTTTATTTTATTAATAAAATATTTTTTTAAAATAATTTTTTCTTGAATCAGCAGAATCAGCCAATGAAGTCACTTCAGCCATAATTACATAAATTTCAGCACAATCAGCCATTTTTTTGTGCCCCTTTTTTGTGCTACAAAACGGGTTCCTAATGTTTACAATTAATTTCACAAATAAAGTTGAATTATACTCTTTGTCATAAAATATACTCTATTCCCTTTATGTTTCCCCTTTTTGTATTTCTTTCTGAAATTTTATTTATGTTTCCACTAGTCAAAGCCTACCATGATGTGGCAATGCAGTGGCCCAAGGCCAACCTCTAATTAGGGGTCGACCGGGACAGGGTGGGGTAATACCAGTCTTGGGACCGGTCGGTCCCGGTTCAAAACCGGAACCGGCAGGTGGGCAGCGGACGGAGGGTTGTGTATGCTGCATAATAAGAGGAACGAATGGTTCAGTCTCATCACTCTCATGGCTAAGCCAAGCGCCCAGTGCATAATACCCTTTGCCATTAAGGAAATGTTTCAGTTCCACTGGCCTCCTCCATGCATACTAGGCCAGAGCTCGAACAGTCGAACTCCACATGACTGTTCTCAGAGTCGAGCATATATTTTGATATCATGTACGGTGAAGTACTGAAGTAGTTCTTTGAACTTAAATTAAATGGAAACATCTATATCAGTTCAGATTGTTCACGTGATTGCAAATTTTATTTTAGATGTACGAAAATAAACAAGATGGTGATTCTGAGATGATTTATGAGTATAGAGCGATATAGAAAATGAATCCATAATAATGCCTCAAGAGAAAATTGCATCAACAAATGTCTCTGCATCAAATGGTTGGAGGTCGTCTATGCCTTCACCAACACCTACGAACTTTACAGGAATGCCAAGCTCATCTACTACACTGACCTGCAAGCAGAAACCCATCATAATTCTTTATTAAGTGTATCTACGCTTTCCCATAGAGCAAAGTGAATGGACAGTGGACTGAGACTGTACCACACAACCACCTCTAGCAGAACCATCTAGTTTGGTCAATATTAAGCCAGTCACTCCAACAACCTGGCATTCATTGGAAGACAAGTCCAACAATCAATCTTTAAAAGGAGACCTTTTATGCAGTTTACACATCTCTACCATGCAAGTATGTAACAACAAAGGCAAGGGAGACAGTGAGATTTTCCACAAGAAAATATACTATTTTATTAAATATAAACTAAACCGACAACGGTACACGCTAAACAAGAGTATTAATACTTGAGGTTCCAATTTAATATATCAATATAATAGGAGTAGTTGAACGTCACTGATGCCCTAAAACTTCTGGTGTACTTTTCTACATATAAATTGCTCAAGTCATGGCTATGGATCGGGTTGATTTTATGCAATATAAAGACAAGAGGCCCCACATCGAAAAGTCTACTTGGTCCAATATCTTCAAAAGGAGGTTCAAAGTAGCACGACAGCACATATGGAGGCTATTAGGCTAATATAAACAGATCAAAAAATTGTTCTTACAAAAAACGACAAGTTCAGAACGATTACCTCATTGAACTCTCTTGCTTGTGGTAGCATATTTAAACCTGTTGTTCCATCCAACACTAGCAAAATTTCCTAAGATCAAAATGTAATATTTCTCTATTAACGCTTTGAGAAAAGAAAATTTCCATTTAAACTTCACTTTTAGCATAAATGCTGCTTCGATTCAAATTTGTAGTCAACAATGATGAAACAACATATGCAACATAAAAGAATAGGAGTGATGAAGAGCTGAATGACATTAGTAACTCATTCAAGCAACATATGCATGCTGAAATTAATTTATTCATTAAAAAGAATAAAATACACTTCTATAATAGGAATGCAATTTTTTAGCTTACATTTGGTGCACCTGGAATAATTTTGCTAATAGTTTTCTTGCACGCAACAAGTTCTTCCATCAAGTTATAGTTAGTGTGCAAACCTGCCCAAAGAGTAAATATCTTACTGATTATTCAACAAAGTTCAAGTCAGAAAATAATTGTGCATGACTTCAACTTACGTCCAGATGTGTCGCATAAAACAACGTCAATGCCTTGTTCTTTCCCTTTTTTAACAGCCTGTGAAATAACTATGCAGGAAGAACATCAAAATCATATCTTAGAAATTATTACCAAATACCAGACCATTCTTGTTT